ATAGAAAGAGGCTTTGGAAATATGGTTCAAATGGGTAGTGAAGGAAATATTTGTGCGAGGACAATGATGTCGTCATGAGAGTCATGGTGATCTTGAGTTTTGACACAGTTCAGCTGCAGAATTCATTTATTATTTTTCCCGGTTACTCTTTTTGATTTATTCTTGTTATTGTTTGGGATTCGGCCAATAAATTGCCCAGCAGCAGTGAACAGGACCTCGTCTGCTTGCTCTGCAGTGACGCTTCTCTGCCTTTCCATGGTTTCTTGCATACACATTTCATGAATTTGCAGTTAGATACTGGCTGTCAGTGCAGAACACTGTAGGCAAAGGTAGAAAATTCAGGTCCAGAAAGTACAAATCCAGACAAAGGTTTTGTTTCAACCAACCAGTTCAATACTCTGTGACTGTGAAATTTTTACCGAACTGGTTAGATGAAACAAAAGCTTGGTCTGGATTTGTATTTTCTGGACCTGAACTTTCCATACAGATGTGCAGCTCTACCTGTCCATGGTTTGAAGTCTCCCCTGCAGGTCTCCTTACACAATCTCAGGGCTTTTGTGCGAGGGTGACACTGCTTTGAAATTGGCCCCACCTCTCAAAATGTAGTCATCCTGTCCAAACCATCCCACTGAAAACTGTAGAAGTAAATCACCGTACATCTTCCTTTAACTTTCTGCTAAATAAATGTAAAACAATCTAATTTTCAGAGCATCCACTTTTATCCAAAGAGATAGTGTGGTCAGAGAGTTCCTGGGGTGATTAGAGTAAAGGGCTTTGCTTAAAGAGTCCTTTGGTGACATTCCTCTGCCTGCCCAGGTGTTACTGATCCCATACAGCGAGCAGAGCGATGCTCATAAAAGTAGAGCGGCAGATGGCCCGCGGCGTCCTGCAGCCGCTGCCGTTTGTTTATCTAACGGTGACGACATGCTGCACACTCTTTACCTGCTGATGTCATGCACTGCTGTCATATTTGCCGTGATTAAGTAAACCTTTCTGAATGTTTGTTTATAATGACCCGCTCAACATATTTCCATTAGATAGTGACCTGTATTAGAACCGGTGCATAAGAACATCGTGTACATGCAGTTATGTAAATGTGATTTATATGTGATTGCATATGAAAAAGGAGGAATTCTGTCATAGAACTAAATGGGTCTTCACTTGTATGAAACGTTTTTAGTACATATATATACATATATACATATATACATATTTGCCACTAGAGGGCAGGCTTGGCTTAGCTTTTGACTTGTCTCCAGCTATATGTTGAGAGACATTAAGGCCCATTTCGAAAAGAACTTTGCTTTCCCTGGTGTTTCAACTGTTGGGTCACAATTGTTTTGTATGCGACAATGTTTAGAGATTCCTTCCCAAATCGAGGGGTTTGTTCCTCACTAAATATGAGTTGTGGCAGTGCAGACCCCCTCAGAGAGCCCGCCTGCAGACCGACAGACAGCCCTGTAGGTCCTGTTTGCCGAGTGGCTTCTTGCTGGTCTGGGGATGTCTCTGCCTCTTTAGTGATGCTGGACCCTGATTTGCTGAGTGCTTTCAAGGTTTGTCCTTTTAATTGAACAGCTGTATATGTGTGTGTGTGTGTGTGTGTGTGTGTGTGTCTGTCAGTGATTCAATATATGTTTCTTGTCATCAAGCCAAACGTGCCGACACAGCATGGGGTGTTTTCCCCACCAGGAGGCTCGCCTGGACGACACGCCCAAAACATGCCTCTGTAGCTGTGGAGGTCAGAGTTCACAAGCTGAAGGCATGGCCTGTTGTCGTCGCTCGTAGCTGGCCAGTCTGCCAGTCTCAATTCGTGGTGCCCGTAAATTACTTGATCGTGTGAACGCCTGGATTGATTTTTAAGGGATTTGCATGCAAATCGCTGGTGCGTAGTTCCTGGGTTTCAATTTCAGCCGTGTGTCTCGGTTAGGGTCACAGGGTTTGTTTCAGTCAGTCTGTGAACACAACATCCTTTTTGCTCGACTAGTTACCAGCCCAATCAATCCATCCAGCTACGCTGATCGCTGCTGGTGAAGCTCAGCCGCTGGCAGGAATGTTTCCCCGAGAGCGTCTGGGCAGTCGGACATGGCTGCCCTGCCAAAAAAGGACTAGAGTATGAGGCCGTGCTAACGGATGCTGGTTTGTAAGATTTGTCCTGCTTCCCGTTTTAACTTCATCCAGCTAGCATTCTGTTAGCCTGTAGCTATGTTCTTGGATTGCTTGTCCTTACAGATCCTGCAGGATGGTCATTTAGACGAGTGTTTGTGTTTTACATTTGCAATGCTTATTCATTGATTTCCCATGCCTTGTTTGAAGATATATGACTTACCAGCCCAATCAATCCATCCAGCTACGCTGATCGTTTATTGAGTACATAGGTAGTCTGTAGCCTATCCTAGGTATCACAGGGGATACAGTGGATGGGATGCCAGACCATTACAGGAAATACACCCAATATGGGCAATTAATTTCCGCTAACTGTAATCAAGAAATGGGGAAAAACAACTTGAATCTATTCTATGTATAGGGGAGCCTCTGGGTGTGTGTCTCATTACCTCCTGTAGAGGGTGCTCTAACTCTTCTAATTGCTTATTCCTCCCAGAGTGTAATTTTTCTCCGTATAGGATTTGTTATACTGTATTCATAAAAAGGCAAGGTACATAAAGTGCCCAGATACAAACATATAGTGCAAAATAAAGACAAAGTGCAAAGACACGCATTGTGGGGCTAACAAAAATGACACAGCACTCAAACAATATTTTGCAGGAAATATATATAAACAGCTAAACTTCATGTATAATAGACATGTTTTTAATGCTTTTCTTTTTTAGATATTATAATTTTAAAATCTGTATAAATGCAAATGTGATTAAAGAAGAATAGCAACAGGTTAAAATGAAATTTTAGACGCTGCTCACTGGTGAGTTGTGCTATTTTTAGAACAGGTCCGCGGGCGACTCGTGCTCCTTGGGGGTATCCTGGTGCCCGCAGGCACCATGTTGGTGACCCCTGACTTAGTGTAATAGATGCAGGAGAATGGGCAGCGCCGCCAGCCATATAATGACCCACTGTCCATATCTACCTCGTCATACAGTATGCATATAGGCACTATATAGGTGGATGTGATGGACAGCTACAATATCAAGATACACTCCAACTGACTTGCATCCGGTGGTCCTGGTCCCAAATACAAATGCATGTTGATGTAAGGGTGTATGACATTTATTAATTATGCATTATTTTACCTGGTGTCTGGGGCTTCATGTTTAAGGCTTGTTGGATGCACATGGTGAAATACAGCATTAATGTTCAGAAAAAACACTAAACCATCTTTGTTTACATTGCTAATTCTTAAGTGGAGGGAACTGGCTCTGTTGCATTCTCAAAATGTAGAAGGTGTAAATTGGTACTTAATCCAGTCTCCTAAATTCAGTTCTCAAATTGAGATGGGAATGTTCTGCCCCAGGCTCCCACTGGGCTGATGCCACCCCTGGGCCTGCTGGGGGTTTGTGTGGCTCTTCAGAGTTCGTGAAGGAGATACCTGGAAAGGTCATGGCAGCATGATATCACTGGCAGCTGTCTCTGTCTCTTGGTGTGTGTGTGTGTGTGTGTGTGTGTGTGTGTGTGTGCATGTGTGTGTGTGCATGTGCTGTAGCCAAGGGCCTAACTGCTGTCTGTTGACACCAGCAGTGTATCTCCTAGGAAATTTCATCATTTTCTAATCAACGTGTGTGCCAATGTGCTATGGAAGGCAAGTCTTGCTTCATATTCCTAATTTTTTACTGTAAAAAAAACTGAACCAAGATAAGAAGATGACCATGGGCAGTGAGCGGGCTAACCGCGGATTATGAGTAATGTAGATGTGTTGATTTCTTTTCATTGGGGTTTGGGGCCATGCCGGGCTCTGCTACCCTTCGGAGGAATGAGCCAGCTTTGGTCCTGAAGCGAGAGGTGTGAAGCCCACCGTCAAGCGGGCTCTTCCCGCAGCCCCACGCCCTCAGGAACAGCCTAGTTTTATTTCATCGCTGCTGGTGAAGCTCAGCCGCTGGCAGGAATGTTTCCCCGAGAGCGTCTGGGGATTCGGTCATGGCTGCCCTGCCAAAAAAGGACTAGAGTATGAGGCCGGGCTAATGGATGCTGGTTCGTAAGATTTGTCCCGCTTCCCGTTTTACCTTCATCCCGCTGAAGATCTGCTTGTGACGTTTGAGATTTCACTGCTGAGCGAAATTTAATTATGATGCGAGTGGACAGCAATTGGTCATTCGAGTTGGTTAAAATTATACTGTGAGTGGACAGCATTTGGTTGATGGTAGTCGGTTAGCATTCTGTTAGCCTGTAGCTATGTTCTTGGTAGCTTGTCCTTACAGATCCCGCAGGATGGTCATTTGGACGAGTGCTTGTGTTTTACATTTGCAATGCTTATTCATTGATTTCCCATGCCTTGTTTGAAGATATGAGTCTTAATAATTCTTGATGATTGAACGAAAGTGTTGCCCTGTTTTACACAGCTGCTCAATCAGAAATGGACGCCAATATGAACACATTAACAAAAGCATGCATTATTGCCCCTCTCCCCTGTAAACACCACTTCTAACTTGCCGCCGCACTCTCCAGCTGCCAGAGTAGGGGGATGCGGATAATGGTTGATGTAAATCGATACATCACGCTGAGTCTGCGTTTTTCCCCATCGTAGGTCATGATTTATATATAAGTAATTCATCAGTGAGTCTGCTCTCACCATCTTCGTTCTGTATTTCACGCCGTCAGCTCAGTTGCACTTACAAAACGAAAGAGATGTAGTTCTTTCATGATCGTAATTAAAACATTGCAATTATTGCACTAGCATGCTGAGCTGGAAAGTTCACAATTTTTTTTTATATGTAAAAATGTAGTAGATGTTTGTATGTATCAGTTTAAAAGTTGCATGCAAATTATTGATGTTTGTTCTTTGGTGAAATGGAGCGGCCCTAAACTTCAGCGTGTTTCACTCCTAAATGCGCCAGGCTTGCCAGCCAGGGGGTGAAGATGTGCGTGCCGGTGGGGACCCGAAAGAGCTGCCCTGCTTTCCGCCTGTCTGATCGGGCTTCCGTCAGCCAGCGCTGGCAGACAGGGTGAGCGGACGCCTCACCGGGGAGAATTTAGGTCAGGCTTACCAGGGGCGTCTGCTTCTGCTGGCATCTGATTTATAGCCGGTCCCTGACTAACGCCCCCCCCCCTCAATCCTGGCCTGTCCCCTCATTTATAACTCCCCATTCTCCCAGGTCACATGCTCATGCAGTCCATGTTCCCATTGGCTGGGTGTGGAGGCATGGCAGGAGCATGTGTCTACTTGCCTTCTGACCCATGGGTGTCCGTGTTGTTGCCTGTATTTGTGGGGGGCGAGTCTCTTGACAGTGTTTGGGTCACTGCAAGGTCTCCGCACTCCTTACTTTACAGAACATTTGAGGAGCAGATGACACACTTTCAGAAGCCCCTTATTCTACACTTATTCTAAATTTGTGTTTTTTTGGCGTGTTGCACCACTCATTCATTTATTCATGCATTGCTTGGTCTACCTTCTGTGTGAACTCTCAACTGAAATGCTTATTTTTCATTGGCTGCCTGTCTTCAATGACAACAGCCTCTTTTCTAAAATAAAAAAAATCCATGGATACAGAGAGAGAGTGCATTGCTAGGCTCCTCAGCCAATGGGATGGCGGCAGCGGAGCACCTGAGCAAAAGGCAGGCCTTCAGCTTCAATCTGGCCGCCTTCAGTCTGTTGCAGGCCACCCTGAGGGCTGGGCTGGAAAACACAATCAAGCTTTTTTTTCAGGGCTAAATCTAGGTTTACTCCATTTATGTAATGTACTATTTTTCCCCCATGAGACAATGCCTATATTTTTATGTCTTTGTACATTTTATTTTAATCTCTTTTTTGACATTGTATATGGACAGCATCATGATTCAGTGGCCGGCACTATAGCCTCACACCTCCAGGTTTGGGGGTTTGCATTTCTAAAGTGTGGGGGGGCTGAGCGCACAAGGCTGGGGCACCTCTCTGGATGATAAGTAGTTTGGATTAAAAAAGCAAAAAACAGAACATAACTGGCCTTTGCCATGTGGAATTATGATTATTGAGCCGCTTTTGCCTCCTTCAATTATTTCCTGACAGAGATTTAGTGGCTCCGGTCCCCCGTCGTCCCTATAACCTCCGTTGTTGACGAGCCGGTGTATCTGCTGCTGGCTGGTCCATGGGAGGCTTTGGTTGATAGCCATCTGGAAAGCAGGCCAGATGGGTGGAGTTTGCAGCCTCAGTACCTGGAGGTGGCTGTTTCCTTTGAGCTAATAGGGTTCCCAGGCTGGTCGCTTGCCGTCTGATGCGTAATGAGGTTTCCTCTGCGATGGCAAAGCGCTGATAAGCCCCCCCCCACAGCCCCCTGGACTTTATGGCAGCACGGCCCGTAAAAAAGCATTTCTATTTATTTCCTCTCATTCTCTCACCTGTCACTGGAGTTTCGGGTGTTTCTCGGTATGACAGGCATTTTCTCCTGCGCCAGGCTGTTTTTAGTTTTCACACCCTAATGGTCGCTGGGTTTCTTCATTGCCAGACCACCGTCACACTCACCTGCTTTTTCCGGATAATTCCTTTCAAGTCGCTTCTTTCTAGTCCCCTGAACAACGGACAAGTTGACAGGCCCCCGTCCTGCAACATTCCCGTCGTTCTACCTGCACTGGCCGGTTTTATACCGCCGTCGTTTATGCGCCTGCTGATATTGCGCTGATGGACTATCTGAGGTGGTGTTGAATGTAAATTCAGCCAGAGAAGCTAATTCTACTATAGGCAGTAATTGCTCATAAAGTTTAATCTTTCGCTCTTTTACCGAGTGCCCAAATCTTTTCACAGGTGTCTTTTTGCAAATGCTGAATGTGGAATTTTTTATATATATTGAGGCAGTCTATAATTTGAAATATTTTGAGATTCATGTGAAGAACAGCAGATATTACTATCCATCCATACCCTATAACTGCCTGTCCTACTCAGGGTAGCAGGGGGGTCTGGAGCCTATGGGCACAAGGCAGGGGACAACCCAGGATGGGGCACCAACCCATTGCAGGGCACACATACCCCATTCACCTCCCCAGGCAATTTGGTAACTCCAATTAACCTCAGCATGGTTTTAGACTATGGGGTTAAACCAGAGTACCGACAACATGGAGAGAACACACAAACTCAACACACACGGAACCACGGTGAAGACTCACCCCCGGACCACAGGTGTGAGGCAACAGTGCTAACCACTGCCCCACTGTGCCGGCCGCAGAAGTCACTAACATTTTTAAATATGCAAATAATATTACTTAACACTGGAAAACAGTGGGAGTCGATAATACGGAATCTAAATGGTTCCCTTAAAATTTTGACCCACTCTGTACTATGTATCATTGCTTCTTACCATTTTGAGGTTATAATATAATCACGTATTAGTATGAATTTTGATGTACTTAATAACTTACCAGGAATAAAAATAAACCACCACTTACATATTAAAATAGCAGCAATCCAGCTAGATAGCATTTATAAGTAACATAAAGTAGAGTCAAAGAGACTCAAATAGCTTATCTGAGGTTGTTGTTCTATAGTCCATTGTAGTTTTATACATCTGTACAGATTTCTGGGGCATTGCTGGAGGGTAGAGCGGCAGCCTCCAGATTCATGTCGTGCTCCAGCATGCTGCTTGCTGGCCTCCTTTCGGCTCTGCCGGTGCCATTGCTCCTTCAGCCACGTAAGGCAGGGTCACACCGGACATGCTATGTAGGTCACCGTGGGAGAGCAGCTGTGAGGGTGCTGGGAAAAGCAGCCGCCGTTCTGAAAAACGCGGGTCCTGTTATTGCCAAAGGTCTGTAGTGTAAACTTAGAAAAGCCACTGAGGATTTTCTGCTGCACCTTTCTCACTGAAACCATGGGTCCTTCCAGTGACCGCTGATATTTAACTTTAGACGAGTTCATTCACGTTTTGTGTTTTTGTTATTCGGTACCTCAGGGTATGGTCACAGATCCATAGGAATGTGAAATAACCGTGTAAGAGATACAAAGCTAGAGGGAGGAGGGATATGAACGCGTACAGAGGTTTGCATCTGCCCCTGTTGTCCTAGCAATACCAGCATGCACATTTAGTTGGAAGATTGTCTGGGAACGGTTCCCCCTTTTGTTCCTGGATGCCCTTATTATGTGGCCGTCAGTCACAGATGAAAGGTCAAATGCTTGTTGAAAAGTCATATTTCATCCTGTGGTGATAGGGAAGGCTTCCTGAAGATGTTTCTGAAGCAAGGAGGAGCAGGGTGGGAGAACGGTGTGGTTTTCCCCAAAGTGTGAGAAGCATGTGGTCTGAAACAGGACCATTGCTTAACAATGTTTCTCACTGTAATCAACGGCTCATCATCTTGAGGAATCCGTTTGTGAAAGCCACCCGCAGTTAGAGTTCTTAATAAACTGAGGAGGATTCCCGAAAACTGGCCCCCACTGGGGGCTGGGGGGGCTAGGCCGGGGGTGTGTTCTGCCAAGAAGGGCTCAGACGTTGGGGACATCTGTTGAACCAGGAAACCACACTGAGTCTGGAGTGGGGGCAGCGGTTGGCAGGTGGGCGGGGCCGTGTCATGCGGGTGAGATAGCGGGGCTTCTGTGGGGCTGGTGTCATGGGCCACAGGGACCCCATCAGCCCACCCCGCCCCCACCCCAGCCCCGCCCCACGGCCAGTGCTGATGGCCCATTAGCACCTGCAGTCACAGTTTTTGAGTTCTGAGAAGTGACCCAGGCCTGTTATCAAATCCGGGTCGGGACCAGGTCATTTCAGGTCTTTCGGCGTTTTAGTTTGTAATAACATTCATAATAAACTGATACTTTTAAATGAAGCTCTAATGAAGTGTTATTAGGGATGAACAGGATAATCATGAATAATGATGTTATAGTTTATACTTGCGGACACTGCATTTCCCTGATCCTCCCCTCCTCCAGCCACAGGGATGGCACCGTGGTGTGGTGGTTAGCACTGTTGCCTCATACCTCCAGGGTTCGAGTCTCCACCAGGGCTCCATGTGTGTGGAGTTTGCATGTTCTCCTTATGTCATCATGGGCTTTCCTTTGAGTACTCTGGTGTCCCCCCCACAGTCCAAAACCTGCTAAGGTGAATTGGAGTTGCCAAATTGCCCATGTGTGTGAGCGGTGTGTGTGCCCTATGATGTGCTGGTGCCCCATCCTGGAATATTCCCTGCCTTGGGCCTGTTTTTTCTGGGAAAAGCTCTGGACTCTGAACCCTACATAGGACAAGTTGGTATGGATGGATCGTCCAGCCACATAACCTACTTGAAGTCGCAGGGGACCCAGTTTGGTTCCACAAAGGTTGCCAAGGTTGATACACAATAACTTCTGTATAGAAGCCTCTACATACTGTATTCAGAATTTCTGGACTAATTCCATGTTTCTCAATAAATATCGTTATTCTATTTTCAATTTTCATAGATGTGAAAGTTTGAAAGGGAGCTCATTGTTGCCAAACTGGCATGCTTCGCTCTGTACCCCTAAGAATGAATGGGTCAAAGTAATTTCTAACATAGGAAACATTAATATCCCCTCAGTCACAACTGGGTCATGGTATGAAGGCTTACATAACAGCAGCCCTATATACTGTGCTGTTGTTTCACGGAAATGCCGTCACTGGTGTCCTATGCAGCATTTTACCCAACTATTAACTCTGCTATCAATGCTTGTTGTCGTTGTGCTAAAAGGTTGACTGTTTTGTTGTGAAATGTAAACACTCATCCTATTCTCTCTTTTCTTGACAGGTGTCTCAACATGGGGAACCTCCTTAAAGTTCTGACTTGCACTGACTTTGAGCAGGGACCTAACTTTTTCCTCGATTTTGAAAGTGAGATTTATTTTCTGTAGTCTATCTACACCCTGCCTGCTATGTCCTCCACCATTTTCTCCTGCCTATGTTCCAGTACCCTTGCCTATCAACGCTTGGTATTTGTTGTATTTGTGTGCGGCCAGTACAGGCATTGCTTGTGGCGTGGTTAGCACGACATCAAGTTTGGGGGAGCGACACATGACTCTTTGGATGGGACAGAATCAAGCCACTCCTGGCCTATCATGCTGTCCCGTCAAGGCTTCCGTTGGAGGTTCCCCAAGGTGGGCCGATCTGTCGGTCTCTGGCAGCCATATAGCTAGAGCAAAACGGAGAGCCGTGTTTGGAATGTGGCCCTGCTAAATGGTCACCGTAATCAATGCGTTTTATTACCAAGGTGGTAAAAGATGAAACATCATCACTTTATTTAGACATCAGAGCAGAGAGGGTAGGCAAGCCATGTGGCAGGTGGCTGGTGACCTCTATATGGCCTGTTAATTATTGCCATCTGCAGAACGATGTAGGTCACTGCACCGCATGCTGTCATACCCTGGCCATGCTGTGCTCCTGATGGAAGCGTCAACGACTGAATGTCTTTCTGTTAAATTGAATGGCTTTATTAAAACAAAGCGGAAGCTTTAATTAAGCGGCAAGTTTCCTGTTGCCTTAGGAAACTCGTTAGGCTGATTGGTTAGAGCAGTATATCTTAACTCGGGCATCGGGAACCCTCCCAGCTCCCGGCACAGCTGTGTCAGGTATTTGGTGTTCTTGATTGTTTAGTTTGTTCTTGGTTGCTTGGTTCAGGTGTGCTGGGGTCTGGGAAGGAACAAAAATGTGGACTGTCTGGGCATGCCCAAGGACTGGGTTGAGAAACACTGGGTTAAAGGAAGTGTAGGCTACCTCATGCCAATGAGAGAGGTCCATTGTCCCTGTGGGGATTTGGAAAAGCTCCAGGTGACACATTTTCCTATTTTTATATGATGAAAAGCAACAAATCGAATGCATCTCCTCTACTCATTCTACAGGACACTGAACTCGCATGGGGCTTCGCATCTCTAATGCCATCGCTTCCTTTGATTCCCCCTCTTTGTTGTTGTTCAGTCTGGTGTGGTTTAGTCTAGTTATACTGTAAATTGTCATAGATTAGGCCTAAGCCATCCATGGTAGGAGTCATGCGCTGCTCGGACTCTTTGATGATACGTTCCAATCTCCACTTCAGATGCACAGCCAACCGAGTCAGAAAGACGAGTGTGGGAGCAGGTGAACGTGGTCCTGAAAGATGCCAGGGGCGTTTCGGATGACCTGCAGGCCTACAAGGGAGCGGGTGCCGAGATCCGAGAGGTACCCCGCTGCTAGCGATCCCGCCTTTCTCCCGTCCCTGGCAGTGCTTACGTTTTTGCAGCTGTTAGAGGTTGTGTCACACAGTAAGATGTTGTGTGACAGTGACATGACCCTTGGCTCACACCTGTCTATACCAGGAGTAAATGCCTATTAACCAATGTTGGGGAGTAGCTAACTAAAATTAGTGATGCTTAAACTTAACTACTTTTTTCAGTAGCTTTTTTCAGCTTACGGCTGGTCAGTCAGAACCGATTGCAGTCGTAAGTTGACGACGACCTGTATTATTTTTCCCTCTTTACAAAGACGGGTATTTTCAGCTACCAGGTGCTTCTGATTGCTTTTATGTAATTAGCTACTTTTTCTCTGTAGCTTGTAGTGCAGCTACTGTAACTTCTATATTAAAACATTAGCTTGGCTGTAGCTTAGCTACTTTAATCATAAGTAGCTTGTAGCTGGAAAATTAGCTTCCCCAACACTGCTATTAACTGAATAATTGCTTAATTACACTTGTATCATTTACATGTGTTTTCTATTGGTCACCACTTAAGCAAAATTAGACACTTAAGCTAATTAGACATGACTGAACAAGGGTGAATACCAAGGGCGGGGTCACAGGGCCACTATCCCCAGCTGAAGGCTGATTGGTCCTCAGAATGTCCCCTGCCTTTTAACTCACAGAATCAAAACATATAATTGGCTCATAATGAGGTTGCCCCCCTGTGTGAATTATGGCCCCTCTTACTCCAACCCCCCTGAAAAATCCTAGAATTGCCCCTGTGACTGAATAATGTAAAAGGAGGGTTTTTGCATTGCCGAACCAAGGTGGCCTGCCTTGATTTAATTTAATTTAATTTAATTTAATTAATTAATTTTCATTTATTTTATTTAAGTATCAATCCTGGCCAACTTAAAATGTGCTGATGGATACACATTCAAATGAGAGAGAACTGGTCCAGGGATGTTTGGTGTTTCCATGATGACTGCATGTCAGCAGACACTGTAAGGCATATATATTTTATATATATATATATTTTCCATTCCACCCTAGGCCATCCAGAACCCCATGGACGAGAGCTTGCAAGAAAGGGCTTGGGGCGCTGTCGTCCCCTTGGTAGGGAAGCTGAAGAAGTTCTATGAGTTCTCCCAGAGGTTAGGTATGTACCTGCAAGCGGCGAACCTGCACGCACCGGGTGCTGCTTTGCTTTAGGGTGTGGACTCCCCAACGTGCTCCTGAAGATGCGTAACACACATGCGCATTGTTTTTGTTGGCTAGCAGCTGGAGTTCTCTGATTACGCTGGCACACCTTGCAGGTATATCTGTGTGTAAAGCTCAGTTCCATACTCCAGCAGTTCCACGCTACAGCACCACGCCCCCTGCTGGAGGAACTTTTATCTCAGTAATGACTGTCAGTGAAAGAAAGGATCTCTTTCCCACCATGACTGCTTCCATAACCAAGGATGCTAGCTCCTCGCTTTGCCGGCACACTCCCTTGCCGATGAGGTCAGCTGGAGTTCCGGATGTCTCCTGCTCGACATTTCACGCTTGACGTCTCCAGGACCCTGGGGGAGATCCATGCAGCAGAGCTGAGGATAAAGCTGTGGTTGGGGTCATATTCCTGTGGCAGCACTCTGCTTCTCATCTGCTGGGCTGTTGCGACCTCCTGTTGACCTCCCGTTGTTTAATTTCAACATCTGTGTATTCTTTTATCGCCTCAAACAACTACACTTTGTTATGGCTAGATCCACTGTATTAAGGGGGACTAACCTGGAAACAAATTGTGGTTTCTGTTTTCTTTGTGACCTCACTGTATTCTGCCTGCTTGTGTGGATGAAACACAGACGCAAAAATTTAAGTTTGATGCTATGAAGGGACTGAACTTTCGCTACAAAGTGAATTAGCACCTATCAGCAACCTCTCTGCCTTGGTGCTTTGACGGATCTGGCAGCTCCTCCATTGCTGACCCATCTCCACCAGCCCTCCCTGGCGCCAACGGAAAAAAGCCTCGTCCGCGGACTGGTGGGAACTGAAAAACGTTCCGTCCTGGCAGTTGTTTTCATGGGGGATGTGAGATGGCGCTGCAGGCAGTTTCGGCAAGTGGAATGCTGGACTCTGACAATGCGCGGATATACGGCACTGCAGCCCCTCGATTTGTGAGCCACTTTGCCAGATTTGCTTCAGGGGTGATTGACCTACATCGCTTCATTTAACGCAGGCTTCAGTCTGAGCTCTCTGGATGTGCATGAGTATTTTTTGTGTGTGTATCCTGTGATGGACTGGCATCCCATCTCGGCTGTGCCCTGTGCTTCCTGGGAAACATTCTCAGCTCACTGAGACCCTGTCCTGGGTCAAGTTATTAAAAACCTTGGTACATCTGAGAAGTCTCATATCTTAATTAACTGTTAACTGTTAGTTAATTGCATCAAAGTGTATGATATTCATATTTGTCAGCAGTCTGATCGGTTGTGTCCCCCCCCAGTTGAAACCTACCTCGTCTTGCATGACCCTTCATGGCAGGACCGTGTTTCACCTGTCCGTCGCCCTTCCCCCCACAGAGGCAGCTCTGCACAGCCTTCTGGGAGCCCTTACCTGCATGCCTGACAGCCCCACGCAGCACCTGGAGCGCGAGCAGGCTCTGGCCAAGCAGTTCGCTGAGATCCTGCACTTCACGCTGCGTTTCGACGAGCTCAAGGCAAGTCCGCACCGTCCCCCGCGTCACAGCTGCCGTGCCCTTGACTTGGGCCAGCACTGTTGCTGTAGCCCTTGGGCTGGGTGCTGTCCAATACAGTTGTGCCCTTGAGAGATCCCTTCGATAACTAACAATCCCCGGCAGCGTTACCATTGTCTGCAGGACTCTTTCGCGCATTAGAATAAATCATGTTAGTCCTTCTGTAGAAATGGAAGGTAAACTCTGATAGTTTTGACCATCAGTGGTAGCTTTCTTTTGTTCATTTTTAAACTTTTGGCTCCACATGTGTGGAGTTTGCATGTCCCTCCTGTGTCATCGTGCCGGTTTTCCAAATTCCCCCCACAGTCCAAAAACATGCTGAGATTAATTGGAGTTAGCAAATTGCCCATAGGTGTGAATATCTGTGAATGGGGTGTGTGTGTGTGTGTGTGTGTGTGTGTATGTGTGTGTGTGTGATGGGTTGTTGCCCTGTCCTGGGTTACAGTGCTCACAGAAAGTCTTGGAAAGCTTGCTTAACTCTGTAATAATGTTGTTAATTTATTGGTTTCTTTAAAAAAGTTACTTTTTCTGAGTGCTTCATTCAGTTATGTTCTTGCTATTTTGCTGTTAATTGTAATTGTGGTCACTGGCTCCCAATGCGATACTGCACACAAATGTTTGGTGTTTTATGTTGTTACTAATTAAAAAGCCCCCAATGATGCTTGTCAATGATACTTTTAACTCAGAACAGCTCTTGAGGAACTATATAATTTTTATTACTACTTGAAATTAGTGTTTTACTTAAAACTTTTGGTTGTTTCTAACATGAGATATAGTTTTTGTAAACAAATGAAATAATGATTTTTGTTATAAAACCAATAAATTTACAGTCATTTTTTACTGAATTAAGCAAGCATTCCAAAACTTTCTGTGAGCACTGTATTCCCTGTCTTGCCGCCTGTAGTTTCCCAGAGAGATTCCGGACTCCTGTGACCCTGCATAGATGGAAGTTTAAGCAAACTATACGTAGCTGAAGTGTTTGCTGTTTTTCTGGTCATTGCTAAAACTGGATATTGAAATGAGGAAGGACTATGGGCGTCGCCGCCGTTAAATCTGAGGGGGACGCATCCCCCTCACATTTCATAATTATTCGTTTGGACATTTAACATGAAATATTACTTTTATGCCAATGTGTTCCCCCCATTCAAAATGCTTCTGACGCCCCTGCGAAAGGCTCACCTGGTTGCTGGTACCTGAAGGCTCTAGGGCTGCAGGTCAGAATCTAGGCGTTGCTCTGCCATGGTTTTCAGCTGCATCTGTATCCTACAATCTGCAGGGTCATGTTCAGCATGTAACTGTATAAACGATTGTGTGCGAGAACAGAACCATCAGTGCCAATTCAAATCAACTGCAAGTAAGCTTATCATCAAGTACTGTGTGGGCACTGTTCATTTGACGGCAATTTGAAAGCTCTATTTTTATCAAAATGAGCTTATTTACCAGTGTGCTAGGACAGATGATACACACTCACAGAGTGGCAGGTGTGTAATAAACCACTGGGTTCTTCACCAGGTTTTCAAATGCCTCATGAGTCCAGCCTGTGCTGGGACTGCTTCACAAACGAAGCAGTGTGTGTGTGTGTGTGTGTGTGTGTGTGTTTGTGTGTTGGGGGGGGCTTCTCTGGGTTTATTTTGAGGCAGGCTTGTTGGCCTAGTTGGGGGGGGGGGTTTGATAGAATGCCACCCTCCCCCCTCACAGTCACCCCCAAAGCCTGGAGGCCCTTCATTATCCAAACACTGGAGTGTCATACCCCCCTCCCCCCCCAACCAGATCCATGCCGTTCCCCAAGCGATACCCACACACCCTGAGGCGGCGTGCTGGGGAGACCCTCAATTAAGGGCCGCCGATTGGGGGAGAGTAGCAGGACTGTGGATGGGACGCGAAGGCTTGTCGCTTCCACTCATCCATCCCTTTCTCCTGTCCCTTTCAGCCGACCCACTTAAATCGTAGTTTTATTTTTTATTTATTTCTCAAAAAATGCCGCATGAAGTTGAATGGATTGTCTGACCAGGCGCAAGCTTTGTATCCACACCGGAGTGGCCGATAATCATATATCCCGAGGTGAGATTGCTGTCATTATCGGAGTGCCCGATGATTTTTATAATTAGCTTAATTTAGCATGACTTTTCTTAATCTCTGCAGTTTAGTTCACGTTGGGGTTTAGTCATGAAAACCAGTCGTTTAACTTGACACCTTCTGCTTAGATGGTACCCCACCTTTCCTTACATAAACCCCGCCCCTAAAATCTGATTTCATACTGCAGTCTGATTCAGTATATTTGGGGAAGAATTTAACAATCCTTTTGTTAGACTTTTTAAATTAAATCAGCAATCTAGAATTCTTGAAAATACAGACGGTCCCTGTCTTATGACTGTTATCCATTTATTATTGTTTTTTTTATTTTTTTTATTTTTTATTTGATCATATGTGCAAGTCGTCGTGAGTCACATAGGTTATGTGGAGAAGGAGGGAAGGAGCGTGCGCTGATTAGAGCCCGTTGCCGCACCCGCCACACGACAAACCACCTCAGGGATGAGAACCTGAATGCAGCCATGCAGTGGGTGATACCTTAGCACCACACTGGTCCAGTGAAACAGTGTGAGTTTTTTTTCCCCCAGTGGCTGGAGTGCCAATCCTGCATAGGTTGTAATAGGTAATCCTCAAGGTATGGAAATGTTTCAGCTGATTCATGAATGTTATAGTCACAATGCTGTCTGTTTTGGCTCAGAGTTGAGCTGTCAAATAGCCACTGTTAATGTTTAAATGTGCATAAAGCACTGTACAGTTCTTTCATGTACTTTGGGCACTAATTACATCATGAATGCTTGCTCGATGAATCTCCTCTGATCATTTGAGAGCTGAACTGAAGAGCACTGGCATTTTTGGTTAATGGTGCGTCTCGTCAGTCGTGGATTAAAGGATAATATTCTCAATAACACCTCTGCTACTCTACCTCTTAACATACAGCGTGATGCTGCGATCCAGTTAATTTCAGTCATGGTGTGATGTAAATAATAAATGTAGTGTATGAAATGAGATGGATGGAGTGACAGTCTGTCACATACATGCTGACACACAGTGAGGACACTTTAGCTTCACCAGCCCATCTGACTTGGGTTCATGCAGGATATTCACATGGTGTTTAATAATTTAAGGGACACCGACACTGTTTGGCTGCTCTACACAGCTGGGTATGAGACGATTGGGATGAAATATGGTGCACTGCTGTAGCCGGTTCCCCTGGGACCTGAACCAGAAACCTCTGGGTTTACAAGTCTATGTCCTTGACTGTTACAGTCCACGCTGCTTGTCCTTTTGTCAAGGATACTAGAGCGAGAACATTTAATATGATTAGTTGATCTTTTCAAGCTCAAAACCAATAGCTTATTGTATTTTTTAAATTATATTGGCTAATTCCTATAACGATGGTTGATGTTAATGGATTCAGTAATGAACAATTACCATCAAAGAGATGGATTTAAATAAATTTTGGTAGGCACATCGACAATTGATTAAATTAGCCTTCTTTATTCCCTTGTAAGAATTGTGTGTTATCTATGCAGTCATTTGACTTGTCTTCTTCCATAATTCTAAAATCTCTGCTCTACTGGAATTCTGTGAAGTTTTGGACTTGTCGGTGTGACGTGAATATGGTCTATTCCACCTCACCTTATTCTTCAGACTTGGGCATCAGCTTAAGAATTACAAATTTGTTATGCAGATTCCTAGGTGCTCCGGTTCACTATGAAAAGACACCTTTTATTGGTGCAGAAGACAGGGGTCTTAGCAAACAGTGTTTAGCAGGCTGCTCTTCACCCCAGGCCTCTCTGACTGATTCACTTGCCAAACACGGTTCCCTAATACGATAGCTTGGTGACTTCAGGTGTCCCTCTCTACAGTCTTGTCCCCGTGTTGCAGTTTGGCCTTGGAGCAACCAGGGTGATGGAGGATCTACTGATACTTTGACTTATGTCACTGCAGAATGGCTTAGTTTTTCTGTTCTTGCAAGAAATACATGCACAGATGGATGGATATAATGGATGTAATGGATGGACCTAACCATCTTGAGAAGTATAAAATAATGACAGGGGAATGTACATGAATTGCAAGCCACGTAAACAACAACATGGTATGATACCATGAGAGTTTCTTCCTTGAAAACATCCAAACCTTTTCCATCATATATTTTACCCCTTGGATATAGGGAAAGTAGTAAGGCGTCCATGCTTTCATCTCGCTATCTTGGAATTATAAAAGCCATGTGTGTTACAATGTGTGAGTGTCTTTGGACCCATGTAACTGATGTGAGCTCCCAAACCCTCCTTCCAACAGATGACCAACCCCGCCATCCAGAATGACTTCAGCTACTACAGGAGAACTTTGAACCGCATGCGTATCAACAACATCCCGGTAGGCTCTCCTCCAATTCCATTCAGCCTGGCCAATGAAGCGAGTAGCTTTTGTTTTCTAAGCAAAGTCTGGAACGGATCAGTTAGTCACTGCTCACAATGGATGGACTTTTAATGATCTGAATGATTTTGATGCTTTGGGGAGGACCAAGGCAGGGGTCATCTTATTTCTGACCTTTTCTGACTCTAGGGCAGTAGAGTAATTTCCAAGCTGTTTCTAAAAACTGAAAGCTCCTTAGCAGGGTGACACTTCCACAAGCCAAGAAAAGGGGGTTTCCCGTGCAGGGGCCTCAGGCGTGAGCTGGAAGAGCATCGCCTTGACCTATCAGTTATGACTGCGTGACATAAGAAGTCAGCCAAAGGCAGAAGGTGAAAGTGAACCTCTAGACCTTCGAGGCCCAGGGTGGGAAAGCAGGGATGTAAGGTAGTTTCGTGGCAGCAGGAAGTGAGAGCCGCTGCAGTTCGAAGCGTGTCGGGGTCGCTGCCCGATCCTGCCCAACGGGGTGAATCGGCGCGCATCGACACCTGACCAGGGGCTATTATTGTGCCCCCTGTCCCCTGGGGCAAGAGGTTAGCGAGGTCAGGCACACTTTTAGAGGCCACCAGCATACTGCCAGCCCCCTGTCCCCTCAACCACAAGCACTAGAGCGTATAACTGGTATTCCCCCCTCCTAGACCTGGCCCCTCCCCCATCCCCGCAGCCTCCCATCAGTCTCAGATATCCTTTGCTTTAAGGGGAGCAATTAAAGACCATTGTCTGTACCATGTGTGTATATTTACATTATATGTGTGTGTATATATGTTATATATTATGTATAATGTGTGTGTGTGTATAATATGTGTGTGTATATACATATATATGTGTGTGTGNTGTGTGTATATATGTTATATATTATGTATAATGTGTGTGTGTGTATAATATGTGTGTGTATATACATATATATGTGTGTGTGTGTGTGTGTGTATATATATATATATATATATATATATATATATATATATATACACGTATGTACAACACAGATTATCACTACTTTCACTTTAGTGATTAAATAGTGTGTACGGTAAAATTTTTATTGGTGATAATGAGCATAATGGTAAGAGTGGAAGATTCCAAGAGTGTATGTAGATAATTTCATGTTTCTTGGATACGTCAGTGGACGTTGATCCAACAAAAGTAACCTTGGCAAGCGATGGACCTGTACTCCTAAAAACTGATGTAAAATCAACTTTAATTTTCTGGTGTGTGTTGTACTTCTGCCGCCAAAGGCTTTTCACAGTTAGATATTATGTAACGAGTGAGCATTATTAGTCATTAAAGTAATAAAGGTATCCATGTGTTTTATGGAGATAAAATCATACTTTATTCAGTAGAAACATTTTCGCAAAATGCTTTTCCAGAGAGAATAAAAATAACCCAAAAAGTTTTATCAGAAAGCATAAATGTTTTTTCCTGGCAAATTTTAAAGAAACATTGTTAACTGCAGCAAAAATAAAGCATTTAGATCTTTTAAGAAGCACTGGTCCATATTTGCTTTTGTATCCTAGTCCTCCTCATTAAACTGTTCATTTGCAGGCGGAAGGGGAGAATGATGTAAATAATGAACTGGCCAATCGGATGTCCCTCTTCTACGCTGAGGCCACGCCTATGTTGAAAACATTAAGTGATGCAACAACAAAGTTTGTGTCTGATGTAAGTGAGATATCAGTTCTTTATTTCATGCTGTTTCTAAGGGAGTGAATGGTAAGTCAAGGTTAGGTGCCAGTCTGCTCGTGAGGTACCTTACCTTCCAATTCACAGGTTGCATAACGAAATGGAATATTAATTGTATTAATGAGCAAATGTTACGTTTCCGCAGCAGGATGTCTGGGCTCATGCATAGAGGTAGGGTGAGAAGCTCAGACATTCAGGAGGGGCTCAATCGAGCAGCTGCTCTTCCACATCAAAAGCAACCAGCTAAGGTGGTTCGTGTATCTATCTAGGATCCTCTTGGACGCCTCCCTGGGGAGGTTTATTGGGCATGTCTAACTAGGAGGCACTCCCCGTGTGCACCCAGGACACGGTGGAGAGATTATGTCTCTCGGCTGGCCTGAGAACGCCTTGGTATTCCTCTGGAGGAGCTGGAGGAAGTGGCTGGTGAGAGGGAGATCTGGAAATCTGCTTAGACTGCTGCCCTCATGACCCAAACCCAGATAAGCGACCAAGAATGAATGAATGAATGTTTTTCTGAATTGCTAAAACGCTAAATTCGATTCTTGGAACAAAACCATCAATTCCCAGAACTCATTTATCGAATCAGACACTCATTTGGAAAATCACCTAGTTAGACACAATTATCAGGTCTAAATCACCCTTTTTGCAAAACTCAAGCACGTTCTCATTCATCAAAACACATTTTTCACCGTGGTGAACTTTGATTAAAAATGGAAAAGACAGGCCACAGAAGTCAAACACAGCCAGCACAGAGTAGTCATCATTTAAACATGATGGCTCAAAACTATTCACACGTTTCTAAACATGAGAAGAAGCTACAAAGTGACTACAATGTAGAAAATGTGCCAGACGAGAGTGCAGGTCTCATGGGTGAGATGAATTTTGACATCAAGGTGTGATTAGGTCACAGAGAGGATGGATTCTTCTCCCATCGCCCAAGGGAGAGCATTTCCTGTGATGCAGACAAAGTTCTCTATCCTGACCCAGCCCAGAGACATGACTATGAGGAAGAATCGCCTATGGCTTACTCACTGGGGGCTTTGGGTGGGGATGCTGTAAAGCGCTTTGGGACAATGTAATGTTGTGATAATGTGCTATACAAAAATAAATTTGTTGTTTTTGTTGTTCTTTGACTCTGGCTTGGCAGTTGAACACCATTTTACAGTAATATGCCTCTAATTTGATTTTTACTTTGTCCTTTACAGGAACTTTTTTGGAGTACTGAATACTCCAAACATTACATTTTGCTTTAAGTCTAATTGTATACACACATTCTTGCTAATCAATTTTTCTTTACTATAATCATTTGGTTTCTAGTTTTTGAACTCAACATATTCATAGTAAACCTGTTTCTCTTTATGACAGTAAGTTTTGATTGGTATTGTTTTAAAATCTTTGCCGTAGTATGTAATGACTACTCAGTAGTGTTTATGTTCTGACTGACTTGATGTGTCTGTTTGGTTTTGAGCAAACATTAAATTGACTCAAAACTATTTTTTGATTTTGCAAAGGTTTTGTGGATGTGCTTCGAGAACTGGATTTTGATGTTTACTGTTCTGAGAAAAGAATGGAAGGTTTTAGGAAATGTGCTTTAGCAATTCAGAAGAAAAACTCTATGTGCAGGGTGAGAGTTGAAGTTCTGTTGGTGAGTTGAATTTCAATGTCCAAGTATGGATAGGTCAGAAGAGAGGATTCTTCTCCCATCCCCTGTCCTGACTCAGCCCAGAGGCATGATGCTGAGGCAGAATGAATATTCTTCCTTGACTTTGACTTGGCAGCTGTACAACATTTTAATGTACCTTTTCATTTGGATTTTTTTACTTTGTCCTTTACAGTAACGTTTTGGAGTGCTGGATACCACAAGCATTAAATACCGCTTTACAGTGTTTTACAATGTAGCTGTATGCAAACATTTTTGATAAACGTCTACATTTTTGTACTATAGTCTTGTGCAGTTTGTCCCGCACACACACCGGCCCGTTCTGGATAGGATTGCCCACCCCTGCTGTAGTGTGTAATGAACGCTCAGTAGTGTTTAAATACTGTCTGACTTTGTGTGTGATCTGAAAGCACTGTTTGGTGCTTAGCAAAGATAAAATAATTTTGGCTAAATTGTTTGATTTTTCATAGATGAGCCAAAGGTTTTGGGAATGAAGGTTGATAATTGGACTTTGCGTTTAGTGTTTTAAGAAAAGGATGGAAGGTTTCAGGAAAAGTGCTTCACCGATTGAGAAAAAACTAATATGCACAGCGGCAATCTTTAAATCAAACTTGGTGCATAATTGGAAAGTACACTGCAGCCAAGCCAAAGGCAGCTGGAAATCTGTTTAAATACATGGCTTTTGAGCGCTTGTGTACAGCATTAGAAATGATTAAGAATATATAGTTTGTTAGTCGGTTAGTCTCCTTTACATATTATCGGGTTTTAGTACGTTGCCTGTACATTCCATAGGATCCATGTGTGCTTGTTTACAGATTTAAAAACTGACTGGGTTTGTCGGAATAGCTGATGAGTAACACTTTCCACTTTTATTGTATCTACAGTTCTCATTGCTGCAATGTTACCAAAACAAGTATATTTTAGATGTTATTCATCATGTCTTTTATCAGTTGCATCAATACCTGGGAACACCCATTTGCTTTCATTCCATTTGGCTTGATATTTAATTAAATCCAATATCAAGTAGATGACCATGTTTTCGAAATGAAAATTTCATTACTTGCTACTGAGAAATTGCTCATCTGTCGTGTTCCCGGCTTTTGGTCTAAACAGAACAAGAACCTGCCTATTGAGAACACGACAGACTGCCTTAGCACGATGGCGAGCGTCTGCAAAGTCATGCTGGAGACCCCGTAAGTTATCCATACCCCGACATTCTCATAGCGAGCATGCTACAATGCAGTGTTGACACTTTGCTGGTATTATCTTTGTGGCCTTTGAAGTTTTTCATCTTTGTTTGTGTGCACATAGGGAGTATCGCAGCCGGTTCGCCAGTGAAGAGACCGCCTCCTTCTGTCTCAGGGTCATGGTGGGAGTCATCATCCTCTACGACTATGTGCATCCCGTTGGGGCCTTTGCCAAGTCCTCTAAGATCGATGTCAGTCCTGTTACCACATGCATGCTAAGTGCCATTCGCACCGGCCGGTCACCTTCCCTCTCTCCTGCCTTTTGATCTCATTCTGCCTCGTCCTTTTGAGTCGTATGTGTTCTAGAAAGTCTGAAAATGCGTAAATGGACCTGAATAATGATATAATCCTTCGACAGATGAAAGGATGCATAAAAGTCCTCAAAGAGCAGCCTGCGAACAGTGTAGAAGGTCTTCTGAATGCTCTCAGGTTGGTGCTTTTTACTGATCTAAGTACCACTCCTGATTGGTTAGGGATCAAGGCACAGCCCCCCCCCCCCTAATGTATTGTTTCATGGCCCAGAGGATTTCATATTTGAGTTGCAGTGCTTGTCTAAGTCCTGAATATCTAGGGATGACTTCTGAAGGAAGGCTTTGGTTGTCTACTTAAAACCTCTTTAAATCTCATCAAACCTTGAGAGTGTCATGGTTGTCGGGCCATGTTCTGCTTTAAAATGCATTGAGGTTAAATGACTCTAAAGCCACTACGAGCCGTCGGCTCCATGTCAGTGAGATGCTTGTGGTCAGGGGCCTTTGGCTCACACTCGCACGACTGCCTTAGATTAGGCTGAGATTAGTCTTGGTTTTAGATGATTGAGCAGAGTGTGGCGTTTTCCAGGTACACGACAAAGCATCTGAACGACGACACCGCCTCCAAGCAAATCAAAACTCTGCTGCAATAGCACCAACCTCGTCCGGCGCTTTCCTGGGAGGCCTGGCCGTCGAGCTGCCTGTCCACAGCGATGTACAGAATTTTATTTTTGTTTAACGAGGCAAGAAAATGGAAACATTACTGCTTTAATTCTCCTTTTAATAAAGAAAGTGTCTCTAGTTTGTTTTCACAAAGAGGATTATTTTTTTAAAGCCATATAACAGCTGGCAGCTAATGATGTGCCCAGTGCTCTTGCCTGTTGCGGAGAGGGAATCATTTCAATGTTTAAATCGCCTCTTCTACAGTACAGAACCATGTCTTTCTTGCATTTATGTACTAATATATTCCTTGTGTTTGCTTGTTTTTTTTTTTTTTTTTAAGGTTAAAATTAAAGAATGTTAAATTAGTTTTGCTATTGAAATGGTACCTGGTGAAGATAATTGGAAATAGCTGTATTGTTATTGTTTTTTTTTTTTTTATAAGAGTTCTGGAAGATTCTGTTTGATACTGTGGAATGTGTTGATAATGAATAAAAGTGAGCTGGATACGTCGATAAGAGATGGTTTTGAAAAGTTTTTGAAGCTTTTCCTGTTTTCTGTTATCTGTTGGGTCATTTTCTAAGCTTACCATTTGAAATGGATTCCATAAGGATCTCTAAAAAAATATACTGATTTTTAAATTGAATGTGGCAAGGAGCCTGGGGATGGCTGGTATGTCCTTCTCAACCTCACTTCTCCACCAGTCTGCTTGCCATATACAGTATAGTGAAGCTCACATGACACCTCGCAGGAGTGATTTTGATTGGAGGATCAAAACAATCCCCATCACTACCAATAGCTCATTGTTATATTTAGCAAATGCTGTAAATTTCTCAGTACAGCCTCTCCCCAGGTTACAATGGGAGTTACGTTCTGATAAATGTATTGTAAGGTGAAAATGCATTTTAATACAATATAACTAACAAACATCATAGCCTAGCCTGCCTTAAAAACATGCTTATAATTCTTATATTAACCTACATTTGAGCCAATTCATTAACACAAAGCTTATTTTTGTAATAAAATGTTGAATATCTCATGAAATTTATTGAATAGTGTACTGAAAATGAAAAACATTCACCCATCATAACATGGACCATCATAACCTGGGGAACAAATGTACTAGATTGGCAGCCATGTCTTTGTGAATGTGTATAGTGTGTATACATATGCACCTGTGTGCGGGTAGAGAATAATTCTCATACTGTAATATAATTGATATTGAACCTATCAGTTGCAGATGCAGATGATCTTGCTTGATGCATAATGAAATGGAAAATAAATTTTGTTTGAGGCCACATCCATCGACAGGCCATTTCTTCAACTAACTGCGAATTCAGCCGAACCCACTTCTGCATGCACTTGTAATCCTTCGACATTCCCACCAGGCTAGAAACCCAGTTTGCAAGTTCAAGTCACATCAAGGCTTTGCTGTGGTGTAATTCTGATATGAAGGAGGCCAGTTCTACCATAACTCAACCAGTAAGTGAGAGCAGCGGTCTGGGCCGCTGTGGTTATCCTGCTAACCAGTAGGGGTCACCGTTTCACTGTGCTTGTCAATGTGGTTCTCCCTTCTATGCCGACAGTCTGCCATTAGAAGGTTTTTGGTCTCTACTAAACCTTGTGTTGATGTCTTGCCCTTGATTATTACAGCAAAACTTCAGATCTTAAAAGAGATTCAGAATGAACTTGAAACAACTTTTAAATGTGTAAATAGTTGGAAACATTGAGTTAACAAGGAAGTTTTATTTTGGTTTCCATCATTAAAAAGACACTGATGTAACAAAAACTCCCCTCTCTCTCTGCAGGAATCCATCTGGGTCATTTTTAGGTAAACGATTGAATCTATATATTTTGAGCATGTTGACACATCCCCAAGTAAGAATCATAGTGGTTCTGGATATTTGGTGGATTGGTGTCTTTATTTGACCACTGCCACTGAAATGTTTGATACTCTGTGTAAAAGACATTCTCATTTCAGTGATGACATGATTCCCTCATTTTCCCAGAAAAATTGCTCAGCAGTAGATTAGTTTTCAAATGTCCCCTAACCACCTCTGTTTTGTGGTGGTTAATAGGATGGTTATTGCTGACTGTCCCATGTTGCAGGATTTGGTGACCTTCGTATTGCATTTCCTTCTTCCATATCCGGCCATGTGCATTTACTTCATGTCTAAATCAGCTGAGGAATGAGAAGGCCACACCCCCAACATTCCGTTTTCCAGCGTGGGACCCTCACCTCCCCCCTCCTGCCGTCTTTCTGCTTTGCTCATCTGGATGCTGAGTAACTAGGGCAACTGGAGAGGGAGGTGTGACTGGCATCCTACCGCTTCTGTGTGAACTGAAGATCTTCATCCTTCTCATGGAAGCCTGATGGGAAAGGTAGTTTTTTCCCCATTCAGAGGATCATTCATTAGCTGATTTTCTTACAGGAGCCCCTCCCCCCAAAAAAAAAACAGAAGAGGGAATCCACTTGTGGTTCCTCTTTCCTTTTTTCATAAGAAAAGACTGAGTCTCAGAGGGGGGGTGGGTGTTTCACTTTCTCACATCCCTTTCGGCCCTGAAGACCAAGCACCATGTTGATGTTGTCTAGCAGGAAAAAACAAATATGGTCATTGTTTTGGATGCCCGCTCCCTTTCTAAAATGATCCGTCTTCCAACAATGCTGGAATTGCTGGGACTGCTTGGTGTGAACCCCAGCCAGGGAAACGCAGCAGGGTTGTGAGGTCACGTGTCCTCACTGTGGCGGCAGCAATCCCACCCCATGAACGCCCTTCATCCCTCCTACCCCAAACTTCTATGCACATGTTATCCTGGTTCTGCACTCCACCCCAGAAACAGAGTCTCCTGAATGGATTTTCCAGTTTTCTTGCTAAGGAACTCACAGCACTCGTTCGATGCTAGACTATACTGCTCTCACTTATGATCCCACTCACATCTGGCTCGAGGGCTGGTGGCCAAAAACAGCATGATTACGCAACCCAGCATTTGAGAAGCATCTTCCCATACGATTGCTGTAAAGTGGCTCTGGGAGTATGAGCTCTCTCTAGCTTACTGTGGCCCACATTGTCCAGCTTATGAGGGCCAGTGATGCTTCTCTCTCATTATTACAGCAGGAGAATCTGCCCAAGGATGGACGCTCCTATAAGCTTTCCCGATGCTTGGGAATCATGCCAGCCTATGCATAAATCCGAGTTCTAGCGGATCATTATGAAATGCTGCCTTATTTGCTATCTGCACAAATTCATTGCTTCTTTTCACATATCTTGTCTTGTTCTCCTTTGAAACATAAGCACACGTACATATGAAAGTGAAGCCTGTGGTCCCATTGCAGGGCCAGCAATTTAGAGTTAAAGTTTTGGGGGCAAAAGGGCCTCATCGAAGGCCCAATAGACTGGAGACTGTTCTGCTGAGCCTGGGATTTACATAAACCAGTGACCTTTGGAGCAGACGTCTAACCTGCTGAGACACCAACAGTCCTCTTATTTACTGTCCAATCAGAACTGGTCACAATAAATATTAGTCATATTATTAAATGCGATGCAGGTAACACTTTCTGGTCAGCCATTCTCCAGGAGTCTGTGGAACCTATAAATGAATGGAGTATTTAATTTTTATTAGCGATAAAATGTTTTATCACCATTCAGACACATTGAGCTATTTTGAATGCAGAAAGCATTGGTTTTGTGGGCCGCCTTGTGGCCTTATATATCTATATAATATATAATTTTCATTCATTTATTCATTCATCCATTCATTCATTCTATGTTCTTGTGTTGGATTTCCTGCCACAGTCCACAGTCATGCAATTAGGTGAACTGGTATCTCCGAATTACCCCATAGTGTGATGGACTGGCATCCTGTCCCAAATAAGACATTATGGAAAAATTAACCTGTTAACCTTAATAAGTTTATCAAAATGTTACGGATATCAGAAGCAGTCTTGTGCTATGGGTCATGTTAATATAAAATGTAAATAGGGTCCATTCTAGCATTCAGTGGGTGAATCACTTCAGAGCTTGTGCTCCAAACTGGAATTCTTGGTATCCATTTGAGTGCTTTTTTTTATCCCACAAAAACTTGAGGCCTCTCAAGTTGTGCATCAGACAAAGCAAAGTCTGTCCAGCAGTGCTGCTGAATGATCACATTAACTCTCTGTGGTGGGGGGGGGGGCTTTGCCATTTGGTCCTTCTTAGTGCTCTGCTGTGAGGTCTCCAGTCCACTGGGCACCTAGAAGCTGCGGAAGGATCACATGGACAGAGCAGTCTGTTTGATCCCCTCCACAGCTTCTAGGTGCCCAGTGGACAACACACAGCGACCATGTCTTAGCGGACGGACATCTTCGACTGAGCCGGCGACCAGCACGGAGGGAAACTTGTGCAATTCGCCACTCTGCTGCTGAAATGGTTCAAGAAATCAAAGAGCAAAAAACATATGCGAGATGTACAGACTAGCTTGCACCCTCCATGTTCCCTGAATGCTCTTAATGTTGTACCTTCTGCTGATTGAGTAGCTGTCTTGTTGGACTGCTTTGTTTGGATGTAGCTCTTACTCCTGTACTGCTTACCCAGGTACCTGGACATTCATTAGAAGCTCAGCCTAGCCACGCTTATGCCTGGTCGACTCCTAGACAGCACTTATGTTTGTGCTTTTTTTCCGACTTTGGACAGAACCTTCTGCTAAATAAAAGTGAAAATAAAATGAAATCTTCATCACTTTCTAGCAGCATTACGGCTAACTGGCTCTCCAGAGACAAAATGGGAAATGAAAAAGGAGATAAATTGTTTCTCATGTCCTATTATTTGTTCAGGAAGTAGCTTCTATTTCTGTTTTCCATTGAAACTGTAGGGGGACAGGAAATGGCTCTGATCGGGGGGGGGGGGGGGGGGGTGGGGGTCGTGACACAAGGGGTTATGGTTAGAGTGGCTCTCCTCAAGAACTACGGTCAGCCAAGGTGCCACCCCTTGAGCCGTCGCCTGCACGCTGAGAGATGGTTTTGAGCTGTGAAGATCACCATGGGCCCCTTGAAGAACAAGTTCCCCACCCAAAAAATAGGGTGTGAGGGTTCACTTTGAAATGATACCGTGACGGTTGGCGGGAGAAGTGCTCTGACGATGGCGCCATCGCCCCGGGGCCGGCACTGGCAGAAGCGGAGTGACTGAATGTGTTCCAAGGTCCCCTACGGGGATCAACACCTTCATGCAACACATTGTGACCCATTAAGGCAATATTTCATTACATGATGAGCAAATTTCCATCCATCCATCCTTCCTTCCATCTCTCCATCCATCCATCCGTTTTCTGTACCTGCTTGCCTTATGTAGGTTAATGAAGGTCCAGAGTCTATCCCGGAAGCTATGGTTGCAGCAAATTCCCAGAAATCGCTCAATCCATTTTTTGTTGTTCTTGAAATGAGACCGCCAATAATCTAAAGTCCTGATCATATGTTACAGTACTGGGAACCAAAGGTCACTTAGACCTCAATGAAGAACTTTTGTTAAATTTCCATAACTCGCTAAG